ACCTGGACTGGACTCATTTGTAAAACCTGGACTGGACTCATTTGTAAAACCTGGACTGGACTCATTTGTAAAACCTGGACTGGACTCATTTGTAAAACATGGACTGGACTCATTTGTGAAACATGGACTGGACTCATTTGTAAAACATGGACTGGACTCATTTGTAAAACATGGACTTGCTGAAAACTATACTAGTCAAAAACAGAAACGTATTACTATGACCACTATGACAAAGGGTGGCCACAGGAGGTCAAATTCAGTTTAAAATATGGCAGCCAAATATATTTTTCTTTTAACAGTATTCAATTTTAGGTTTTTCAAATGGAAGAACAGTGTTTTTTTTCTAAATATGGGTCATTTAGTGCCTAAATGAAATGTAATTATTTTTTTAAACCGGTAAGTATATATTACTTATATTATTTATATGTAGACACTACTGTAGTGGAGACTTAAGCACAGCAGTCAACACATCAGGGGTCATCCTAAGCCCTCCTTTTTTCAAAATGGGCAATTCTAGGAAAATGGGTAGTTCTAAATCTTAAAGTGTCTAAACATTCAATAATCAATATTTAAAGGATTATATATCTACAAAGAAAAAGGAAATATCGATAAAGTCAGCGACTTATAGTTACTATACCCATATTTCTGATTTCAGAATAATCTTTTGTAAACCTAAATTTTTTTCCAAATTCGTTCTCAGAATGCTGGAAATGCCATTTGAGAGACGTCAATTTCAACATTTTGCAGGGGGGGAGAGCTATCCCTCACACCCCTAGAAGGTTTATGCCCACAACACATACTGCATCTGGAAGCAGCTATGAAATGAACAGTTCTAAATTTTTCTTAGGATGACCCCTGCAACACACTACTGCACAGTTTATCTAGAATGATATATTCTGCAATTATAGTATCTAAGGAATAATCGCATTTTATAATAATATTTCTGCAAGTCAATGTGGTTCACCCACCATTGTCTTCAATTCTACCGTTATAAAATTTCTTAAAGTTAAAGTCAAAGTCAGAAAAGTTCTTTTAAGCTACCTTTTTATTAATCTTTTCTTAATTGTACTTGTGAGGAAATAGACAACTTGCATGTTAGATATAGCCGATCTAGGCAAAAAAAGTAAATTAATTCCCGTTAAGAACTTATTAAAATTAGTAAAATTGCAAAATTTGGTTGCGAAATGTTGTAAAATACAGAAAATATACTCCTTTGCGAAGTTTGCATATTTTCAGTATATTTGTATTGCGTGCGGAAATTGTTACCATTTTTGAGCCGAAAATTTTCAGCTGTTGTGTTTGATTCCCTTTTCTCTGTTTAGATTAAAATTTAGTCTAACATGCAAGTTAATTGTCCATTGACAATGGACCATTTGCATTATAGACTAAATTCTGATCTAGACAAAAATGTCATCACAGCTTGAAAGAGCATCACAAAATTAGTAATATTCCAAAGTTTCGTTGCGAAATGTTGTAAAATGCGGATAATATAGCCTTGCGAAATTCGCAATTTTCAGTCATTTTAGATTACAAACGGGAAATTGATGCCCCAACACCCGATTGGGCTGTCAATTCCCCATGCGTAATACAAAATGACTGAAAAACGGCAAACTTCGCATGGCTATATTATCCACGTTTTACAACATTTCACAACGAAACTTCAGAATATTACTAATTTTGTGATGCTCTCTCAAGCTGTGGTGAAATTTTTGTCTAGATCAAAATTTAGTCTATAATGCAAATGGTCCATTGTTATAGTGATACCGACTAGTGACTAGTGGAAACTTAAATGTGAATAAGGTATAATATTTTTTGTTTTTGTGATACCGAATTCTCTCTATTATTCTTTTCTGGCTCTTTGAGG